GTTTGTTGTTCTGACCGGTTCTGAGAAATATTCAGTTTCCAGAAATATCTGAAATACCTTCACTTCTGAGAAATATTTAATTTTAATTGGAGATAATTTGTCAGTGGCATATTAAGAGAAATTGACTGAAACAAAACATTTGAGAGCAATTTTTGAAAGAGAACAGTTAAAATATTTTCAATGTGAAAAATTTATAGAAAAACAAAATATTTATCAACTATGTCCAATTCTCAAAGCTCAAAACCTTGTGACATTTTCAACTTTTTTACAACAGTGGTGAAAAAAAAAACATTTATTTTTATAATTCAAATTTTAGCATTTTATTAAGAATTTTTTCTTAAAAAATAAAAACCCTAAAATATGTTTGGATTTTGTTTTACGTTCAATGTTAAAATTTTCATGTCGCCAATAAAGAAAATGGTACAAGTCGTTTATGCGCATGCAATTTGTGAATATGCAAATGAAAACACTGCAGTAGAGTTTTGTAAATGAAAAAAAAAGTAAAATTTACGGGTGAGGTTTTGCCATTTTTTTGGTTTTTGGTGTTTTTATTCTTGTAGGTTTTGTTTTTGGTTTTATAAATTTTTTTTTCTAACAATTACAAATATTTCGCCTTATTTCTGTGTAGAGTAAAACATTTAAGTCTAATATAAATTTTTTTTTGATTTTGTTAAATTTGAAATTGGAAAATGTACCAAAGGTACATTTAGAAAAGATCTTGATCTTTGTTTGTTTATATCACGATTTTCTAAAAACAAAATTTAAAAATAATTTTAATATATAAGTATTAAATGAGGGTCTTGATCTAGCAGTTTGTGGTTTTCTTCTTTGTAATAATATTTAACAATCCTGATTATATAGAAAAATAATAATTTTTTTTATCGTATATATAAAAATTTATTGAAGGAAAGTATACCATATATGTTGCCGGCAATTTGTATAACGTAAATATTAGAAGGTGAATTGACATTAAAACAATTTGAAAAAGCATGATTTTATGTAAATGTTGGCCATTGCCTATATGAAGACGCTTCACTTATTATTTACTTTTCAAAATAGTTCGACAAATTGTAACTGATAAGCGTTACTGTTTGATGTAAATGAAACATTTCAAGAAAAAAATGGCAGAGCCGAAGCGTAAAACTTCTTATGCAACACACTTTTACCCGGAACACACATTTTTGAAACAAGCTTGTTAAATACATTATTTACAAATCAGCTATTATTCCCATCAATTCATGCATCCATCAATTTATGCATTTTTTCTGTTTATTTTGATTGAAACCACTACTGTTTGGCTTTATCTTTATTTGCTTTTAATTACAGTTCAGAATAATTTCAAGTTAGACTGTGGCCGCTTTTTAATTATAAAATTTGTTATAGTAAATTATTCACTAAATTTGCCTGTAACATTTATGTATCAATATATATATATCTATAATGTATATATTGAATAGACCACAAAAAATTATTCGAATATTCCCTGTTTTTTTATAATTTTATAAAATTAAAGAGCAACTTTAAAGGATTGTTAAATTTATTTATTCCCACTAATTTGAATTATTTGTAAATAAATTACTTTATTAAAAAATATTATATTTTTGTTTATAAACAAAATCGAAATTAAATTATTTGATGAAATTGTTGCCATTATAGCAGAGACTCATTTTGAATGTCTGAATGTATTGTGTACGAGAGATTATAAGATTTTTATGAAAAGTGAACTCTGATCAACTATTGAAATAAACAAAATTCAATTTGTATGAAAGTGGACCAAAAAAAATTTGTTGTTGTCATAATAGTAAATGACAATATCAATGAGTTCTATGATTGTAGATTGTAGATTGCAAAGAAGGGGTAACAGTGCACCGCGACCAGAACATATAGATCTATTGTGCCCCCCAATTAGGTGCGGGACAAAACCCTACAACACATCCTCGATACTCACCTTCCTGATAAATTCGAGCAACTTTGAAAGGGCGGCAGACTGCAGCTCCGCTGGCATAAGTACGTGGTTCCCCAGTACCTCCCTTCTCATGCGGGCGAGGGCCCCGCATTCCCTTAGGAGGTGCGCCGAGATCTCCTTATCCTGTCCGCAAAACCTGCATACATCTTCACTGCGCAGGCCAAGCCTTCTAAGGTGAGCCCTGAGACGACAATGCTCCGTCAAGACCCCGGTGAGAATTCTCACCTGATTCATGCCGAGTCCCATTATTTTCCTAAAACGCCCCTGATCATAATTTCCCAGAAGCTCTTTAGCCTGTCAAAGTCCTGGACGACACCTCCAGCGCTCCGAACGCCGCCTCTCCATTTCCTTTCTTAATTCTCTTTGAATCGTATGAGTTCTATGATTCTAATAACTTTATTTAGTCAGACAAATATATATAAATAGCTCACATGTAATAAAAACTTATTTAAATATATCAATAAGAAAAGGAAATAGCGAGCACTATAAGAGAACACTGGGTCCGGCAATTTCTTTATACCCCTGTAGCTCAGTCGATAGAGCGCCTCTCTAGAATTTTTCTGCCTTTAACTCGTTCTCTTGATTATGTCATCCTTCTATTGCGCAGTTGCATGAAGAAATTTTCATTAGTTATTCTTATCAAAATCTTGATCAAATGCAAAATCAAATTCGGCCGAAAATCACTAACATTACATGTAAAATTATAAACGTTTCTTTTCACACTCCTGCAAAAAAAATTTGGAATGACTAAAAATTTCATAAGCTTCATTAAAAATTTGTGTATAAAATGATTTTAATTTTAACATATTTTTTTTTTCTAATTTGAAAACAAAAATGTCATACATGCATAACTATCACCTACCTCTTTTAAATATCAAAATATCTCAAGTACACAAAGTCACGATTCAAGGAGTAAAGAAAATGGAAATAATTTCGAAATGAATGCATGCAATAAAAATAAAATTATTGTATAAAATAATTGTAAGTGTAACACTAAAATTGTTCCTAAAAAAAAATTTACCGTTAATTACTTCTATAGTTGCAAAATTTTTCTATGAATCGAAAAAACAATTAACAAGCTTAAGAGCTATAAAATTATTAGATTACAATTTAGATTAAAAAAAAAATTTTTTTGAATTTAACCTTCAAACCCTTACAAATTTTTATTACAAAATCGAAAATGAAAATCAGTTTTTCTTCTATAGAGATTTGATAAATTGAAAATATAAAAATTTTATAATATTTTTTACAATGTTATTCAATGTCAGATTTTCATCTAAAATTTTCCATTTGATTTCAAATTATTATGCAAAATATTTAATTCCAATAAGCATTCTGTAGCAATTGATTATTAATTGACATTATCAAATTTTAATTGATTGTAAATTTACGTGAGTAATTTCCCGTTATGAGGTTTTTTCTTAACAGCAGTATACATTTGTGTTTCTAGAAATTTAATAATTCTATTTATATACCTAAAAAATTGTGTTTAAACAGTATAACAGTTTTATAAAATTAATATTATTATTGTAGTAGTCATTCGTATTATATTAAATGATCTTTGATACTAAAAGGCACTTAACACTTTTCTAACTTATACTAAAAATAATAGACACCTTTGCACCTTTACTAACATATTTACATTAATCTTAATTATTATTATATTCGAAAAATTTTAAATATCAAAATCATGGCTTCAATCAATCATTTAATTTCCATTAACCTTTTACTCCTGTTTGCTTAGATTTTCGATTTATTACCTCTATGACATGCATCCTATGACATGTACGTATTTTGATTGAAGTCTTAAAAATTTTCACATTTTATTTCCGCATTTTCTTAATAAATACTTTGGATATACCTTATTTCATTTATTATAACAATTTTGTACATAATTTTGTATTTAAACAAATTAAATTTCAAAGAATAATTTTAAAGAAACGCAATAATAATCGATTTAATCATTAAAATCGATTTTACTCTTAACAACAAAAATTTGATTTATAACAGTTGCGTTGAGCGCGCAACATATTGTTATTTTGACACATTAAAAAAATTTTTCATTTTTTTCTTAAATTTAATTTCACGTACTTTGAATATAATTTTTATAATAATTTATATTAAAAAATAAAACAGAATATTTTTAAATTATATTATTTATAATAATATATTAAAAATTGAAAATTATTATCTAATTTATGATTATTTACGAGATTTTTTTTTCTGTTTCTATGTAGCATACATAGGAATATTTGAGCATTACAAATTTATAAAATTATATCAGAAAATAATCGATTGAAAACACCTGTACTTAACGTACATACTTACCTTTACCAAAATGCATACGTACAATTTATTTAATTTTTAAAAAACAAAGAAATGAAAAATAATTCAAAATATTTTTGTAAATAAAATTTTCTCTTGGTGTAGAAAATTTTATAAAAGTTTTCGTGTTTTTTTCATGGTATATGGTAATAATAATTATTTTAAATATAATATTTATTTAAATGCAAATGCCATTATTTATTGTAAAAACATAGAGTAAGTAAGTAATTTTGAATTCCTATCTATACAAATGTGCTTCAAGAAATGAAACGAAATCAATAAACAAAATCTTTGGAAAGCGCAATTTTCTTTATAAAATTTAATGTATAACAAAATTTTCACCGAAAAATCGACATGTGTTATTAGGTGCCATCACACAACCTCCACTGTTGTATGCAATACCGTCATAAATTAAGTTATACTATAGGGATCCCTCCGGTTTACAATAGTTAGACTGGCACATGATCTACGTTACGTTATATACATATTATGAGTGTTCTATTATGTATTGTGTTACTTATTACGTTGCATGTTACATTTCGTATTCTGTTACTGGATATATAAGAGATTTGATTTAGTAACAAAATGTAAATTTAAAATTTAATTCAATCGTGTTCAAACTGACCACGTGCGGGCCTTGCTCCTATATCATATCCATGCCTAAAAATGTATAATTTGCATGTCATACAAATGGTAAAATCATTTAGTTTCATGAAATGTTATATCGGTAGATGCCAGCAGTTTGTTTAATCTTTTTATGTAATGCAAAAGTATCATGGGTGCGTTGAAGTCTTTCTAGTTCTTCGCACTCTCGAGTGAGCCATTCGCTTTTCGCTTGTCTTATTTTTCTTCTTATGCAGCGATGTATTTGCTTGTATGTAGCATCATTCTTGCCTCTATATTTTCGCCTTTGTTCCATTAAGTTAAATATTTCTTCTGTCATCCACTTTTGTTTTGGGGTGAAATTCTTGTAACCTAGTATTCTTTTAGAAGTGCTGTTTAAAATTTCTTTGGTTTGATTCCATAGTGCAATGTTAGTACTTCCTACGTTGAGAGATCTAAGTCGAGCTATCTCTAAAGCGGTTTGTGCTCCTGTCTCACTATTTTGAAGTTTATCTAGATCTAGCTGTTTTTTCCGCGGTTGCTGCGGTCTGGTTACGGTTAATTTAATTTTGAACTTAGCCAAAAGTAGATTATGGTCTGACGGAACATCAGCTCCTGGATAAGTAGACACGCTTTTTACGGATGTACTAAATCTTTTATTAATTAAAATGAAATCTATTTGGTTTCGCACTATATTTCCTGTAGTATCTTGGGGAGATTTCCACGTATACAACCTTCTAGGCGGTAAAGAGAACCAGGTATTTGTGATTTTGTAGTCTTCTTCTTGACAGAATTGTATAAGACGTTCACCTCTGTCATTTCTGGTTCCTAAAGCAAATGGACGAACAATATTTTCTACTTTTCCGGTGCCAATTTTTGCATTGAAATCGCCCATGATGATGTTCATTTCGTGTCTCTTGGTAAGTTTTAATAATTCCGAAATCTCACTGTAGAAACTTTCGATATCACTATTGCTGCTGTCAGCTGTAGGAGCGTAGACCTGAATTATATTTATAGAAATTGGTTTAGCATTTATTTTGAGTAACAACGCCCTATCTGAGAAAGGGATGAATTGTTGAACAGATTTTATTACATTTTTTGAGACAATTATTCCTACACCTTGCCTGTGTCTTGTCGATTTGTTTCCCGAGTAATAAACTTTTGTTTCTTCTGAATGAAATTCTCCCACATCTGGCCACCATGTTTCGCTTACACCGAGAACATTGGTGCTTAAACGTTTCATCTCTTTAATTGTATTGGCTAATTTACCAGCTTCAAATAGGCTTTGCACGTTCCATGTTGCGATGTTTAAATGTTGTTTGGTTTCACCTCCGGGGATTCTTAGCACCCTCGATTTGCCGGAGACTGAGGGCCGTTTATTTGTTGTTTCACACATTGTATATACACAGTAGTATTCCAAAAAACAATAACGGAGAGAAATTACATCAAATAAAAATTTGTAAATAAAATTTTATTTCTTAATTCAAGTTGAAGTTGCTTTCATTATACTTTCGCATTATTTATATATATAAATTGTGAGTATAATTTATATTTCCTTGAGAATTCACAGTTTGCAATTTGTCTGACAATTATCCTGTTATAACATGAGTAACTGCGCATATTTTTCGCTAATCGTATGTACTAGAATAAATTGATAAAAATTATTTTAAAATGGTAAACTCAGTTTTTATATCTTCATTATAAGAGAAGTTATCTATATGCTTTTAGTATAAAAGAAAAAAAATTAACTTCATCTTCCAAAGCAAAAAATCAATAAAATTACTTCAATGACGGAGAATTTTTTCTTCTGTACCTTTGGTGCTACCGAACAAACTAAAAACATTGAATTATCGTTGTCATTTAAAAATTTTAAGAATACTGTTCTACATTCTTCTTAAATTTTAATTCTGTTTCTAAGTTGCTCAGGCGCCAGTTAATAAAATGCATACTGCAAATATATTGCCAAATGAAATTTGGCATGTCATCCCTTAATTTTGTACAGGTTACAATTTTTATCACAAACATTAAAGAAATTATCTTTCTATATGAATGGATTTGTAACATGTATACGATAACTGAAATATTTAGCGGCAACTTGAAAAGTAACTTTATTTTGTAGTTTTTAAAAATAGAAACCGTTCGATACCAATACAAATGTCATTATAACTTCAACATATAACTATTTCCTTATTTAAAAAAAAATATTAACCGTTAACAAGACCCTCTCTTGTTTTTTTTTTTAAAAATTGCTTATTCAATTTATATACTAGTGATTTATACATATATTTTAGTACAAGACATTTTATTACTTTAACACACATTTGATTTGTGTAAAGAATCTTTTAATCCTTTTGTATAAACAAACCATTAAATTTCATACAAAATATTTGACATACTTTCACTGCTTTACATACAACATGTTTGAATTCATTATTAAAATACTGTTATACACCATCATATATAGAAGTATAAATTTCGTGTAAGTTCGTGTATTTGAATAAAATTTTTTTTTTTGAAAATTTTTATAATTTTATTAACCTATTTTGTTTAACTGAGAACTGATATTAATTTTTATTTTTTGTTATGTCATTGGTACACATAACATTTTCTCTTACATAAAACATATCTCTTGTACTTTGTAACAAAAATTAAAATGAAAATTAAAATAAATTTAAATAAATTTACAAACAACAGAGACATCTAATTTAAAAAAACAAAAACAGAAACAAAAAAAATGTTAAAAATGAAAATTTACAAAATAAATCAAAGCTACAAAAAAACAAGGAAAATGTTGTTGTACATACATGTGTATACAACATTCATGTTTCAACATTTAAAAAGACAAGCAACATAAATTCGATTTAAAGCATAATTTTTTTTTTCATATGTTTGTTTTTTTAGTTAAAATTTAATTTTTTTTTACAGTTAAGCTATATTCCTTGCATAATTAAATCCCTTGACAATTACAATAATATAATTTTTATTTTTCATTTATTTCATAATCATACATGTATGTATGTATGTATGAAATATTTAAAATTTATACATTTAGTTGCATAATACCATTATAAAACTTGATAAAAATTGCAATTTATCCATTATCTATAGCTTTTGTATTAATCCTACGTGCATATTACGAGCGTAAGCAATTTTAAATTTAAATTAAAAACTAAATATACTTGCAAAATATTTAATTAAGTTATAAAAACATATATATGTATTTCATATATGTAATGATAATTGAGTAACAGTCTTTTGATTACATAAACTATGACAGATAAGTTAACTGTTATACGATGCATATTATAACAATCAAATGCATTGAAATAAAAAGTTAATCTAACGCGTTTATTTCAACACGTTGTAATTGCATCGCAGCAATAAGTATATAATTGTAAAAGCGTATTTCTTTTATCTCTGCTACATTTAAAAATTGATATATGTGTAATTTTGTTTCTTAATTTTCCAACTATAAAATTATTATTTCATTTTTGTATGTAAAAACATTAAAGAATTCTAGTTTTGAAAAATAAAATAAAATTAATAAGAAAATATTTTAAAAAATATGAGTTTCAATAATTATCAATATTACACTTACTAATTATACACGAAGTCGATTATATAGGTGAAAAATTAATAATTGAACTAATAAATTTAAGAAAAATTCGTATATGATAAGAAATGACGGAATTTCACTCTATATTATTGTGCAATTTCAATAAAAAATTAATACAATTTTTTCTTACTATTTTGAATATGAAATTTTGTATTTAACCCCCAAGTAAATTCAATATGAAATTGATACTTTAAATATGTTCAATATTAAAGGAAATTAATGTGGAAAAATTTATTTTCGATTTATCGATATATTTTTGATTTCATTACACATTTCGATAATTTTATTCATAATTGCATGAGTTGCAAACTTATAAAGGGAATAACAAAAAAAAAGTGCCGATATTTTTTAATTGAAAGAGTTAATAAAAATAACAATATTTTCATATTTAAGAAAAACGTGGTGTTAAAGGGCTTGAATATCCACATAATCCAGGTTTTCAATAAAAACTTATTGGATAAATTGGAGGACCGGGCAAAACTTAACTCTTCACTTATTTTATAACAACTTATTTGATAACAAAACCAACCCACAATTTATTTATTAAGATCTCAATTGCGACTTAACTATATACAGATCCTTCATTTAAAACTTGGGAGAAGCGAAAGAGAGAAGTGCATTTTTTGTCGTAAAGTACATTTCTGTTTCAAACCCATAAGCATTGTTTTATATTTACTTTACTTATCCGACTTTCATTAGAACTAATTGTTGTCAGCTTTGAGACTCATTAAAAATTCCCTAAATATTTTAATTACATGTCTTCAAACTGCATATTGATTTTAAAATATTTCATTAAAATCAAATTTAATTTTTTTATTAAATTTTTTTTCTTCTTTTTTTTTTTATTTTCAGGTAAGTTTACACAACCAATTGAATTTAAGAATTGAAATTATGTAATCTCATATCAACTATTTGAAAAGCCTATCAAAATTAATTGAATATAATTTCTTATTCAATTAAACTATTAACAGTAAAAATATTATTATCGTAAGTTATCCATTGATTTTGTAACACAAAACATATCGTATATTTATCGAATAGTAATTGGATCAATTTTGATTGATTTCAAACACAACATTTTAATTTCAATTATATGCACGGTACTTAAATAAATGTTTTCTTTTTGAAATTTATTTAAATTAAAAATTTAACAACACAATACACACAACTTTCTTTCTCTTCTTTTTTGATTACAATTTACAATTATCATATAAATTATTAATTATTTTCTCATTATCCATTCAAATGTCAATCAATAAAAATGGTACATTTTACTATACTTAAATGAGAGAAAAAAAAAATGCATGTGTACTCGAACATTAGAAAAATGTTTAAATGCAAAAAAAAAAAACATTCCATTCAATTTTAATCAGGACATTCAACTATCAAACAAATAATATTCGAATTGAAAAGTATTACAACAGTAAGAAAGAAATTTATTGTTAAATATTTAATTTTTACAAAATAACAAGTTATAATTAAATTAAATGTCTGGTAGGAAGCACATTTTTTTGGCTTGCCTTAATTCCATATTGCAGTATTATTGTGATTGTAATACAGTTGAAACATAATTTTGGTGCATTCATAGCTAAAAATTTCTTAGTTGAGTTTTAAACCTTGCAGTAAGCATTATATATAGGAGTCGCAACAGGCATATGTATATTTTGATTTTGTGCTGTATATTAAATTTTGGAAATAATTTGGCAAATTAAATTGCAAATACGGGAATAAGCTGCAAATTTTTAGCATATTCCCGATATTCATAAGTCCGGAAATGTTTCTTAAATGAAATATAAAATAATTTTTGATTTTCTTTCAATATTGCCCCTATAAATATGCAATTTTTTTTTTTCAATAAACGTGCAAAAAAAATTTTTGAAATGTTCAAACTTATAGAAACTATAATTAAAGTAAAAATATTTGATTCAAATGGAAACCGACTGATTTGAATGCATGCTAATATTAAAAGTTTGGTTGACAAACATTTTCATATTCAAATTTTAAATTGAATTGGAATTTTAACAAGAACAAAGTATTCAATACAAATATTTTTTAAACTATGTATTTGCTACATACATTCACACACAGACACTGATTTATATGTTACATATAATAAAAATATATAAACCAAATATTAAATTGATGAAAAGAAAATAGAGGCGATTTTCAAAATTATCACCACTGACAAAGTCTATTAATTTTAAAGTAAATGAAAATATATCATTATAGTTTAAAAATCATTTGAAATCATGTGGTTACAGTTATATCATACCATCATAATATCGTCAATCTCTTATCTATTATATACCGCACTATTACAATATTTATTGTAATTAAAAGAAAAGAAAAAAAAAACAAGTAAAGAAAAAAATTAATGAACTTTCTGCACTAAATATTCAATTGTAAAAGCTTCTAACTATTATACAAAATAAATGCAAAATAATAATGGTAGACAATATTCAAGTTGTATAATTAAATGGGTATATTACGATATAAAATGATTATATATTTGATATTTTAATATATATTTATATAGTAACAATATTACGCATTTATTAAAATTAAATGAATAAATATTCGAGTATACATATAACAATAAATACACTATGTATATATAAAAACGTAATATATGATTTAAAAAAAAATATAAAATCACAATAAATATAAAATTGAAATACAAATAAAATATAATTGCTATAATGTAAACCAATGTTTCTCAAACGTATAATGACAGTAAATCATGTGACGTTTTGTTGTCAATTTCTACTTAATTGACAAAT